CTAATTTTCATGTTAAGAATGTGTAATAGCTTCACGTCATCACGTGTGCCATATCCATACATTTGTGGTGGATGTTAGACTCTAAAATCAATTTCAATTATTTGCTATCTTTTAAAAAATATATTCATGTATGTTTCCTTACTGGTCAATGCCTCAATGGCGAGGATAAGGAAGGATGGCTTTGTGAGATAAAGAAGGACTAGTCCATCATGCGCGCCCTCGCACGCGTCGGCAGTAAGTTGAAAATGCAGTCGCAGATGTAAACGTGTCTATATATTTTTTCAAGATCGGAGCACCACCAACGCATGCGGGAAGAAATACTCCTTTTTGAAACAAAAACTAACGTACTGATAGTACTAACGTGTGGATTCATACTTATAAATCAACAAAGGGGAATAGAGTTCCTCCTTTTACCTCATAGGTTGCACAACCGGAACAAAAGAAGAGAGGTGACTTCAGTTGTTACCTAATCTCTCCAAAAGGAAAGGAATGAACTCTTAATGCAAGGTAGTTGTAAGTCCCATAGTCTGTTTTTACTGCATTGCCTCATTGCGTCATCCACCTATGCTTATAAATATTATCTGGAAATGAAAGAAATGATCAGTAAGTACATAAATTGGCAAACCAGCAAGGAAATTCAGAAAGAGTGAGCAACAAAAATCAAGTTGCAATCCTGTAGTGCAAGGTGGCATTCTAAGTAGAAAGGAACTACAACCTGTTCGCTTGCTCGTATACAATCGTGGATTATAAGCTGGAACAGTATTTTTCTCTCACACCAAACTAGCTAGCAGTAAATAATCCACGATCGTTTACGGCCTGCCGAACAGGCTGCTAACTAAGAAGGTAAGGTAAGTGGGTAAAATGTAGAGCAGATCTTCGGGGACTATGGTGTAATACATTAACTAAACTACCTGACACAAGCAAACTGATGTAGAGGGGATGTAACCCTGTCATGGAGATATTATTACTTAAAAGGGCTATGGCATATATAAACCAAGATTAAGCCATCTTTGCTTGTAGGTCTATATTATTTTGGTTTAACTCTAAATAGCTTTTCAAAATGTACCACTTTACTTTGATCTGGGAAGGGTTGGAGGGAAGGGGTTAAGCCATCTTTGTCTGTCCTCCTATATAATTTTAGTTTAACTATAAATAGCTTTTAATTACAATGAATCACATAAGACGATGGAACCATAACAAAAATATGTGGTAGTAGGAAAAATTGTTGGTCATGAATAGTCCTATCAACATCAGATCACCCCCATGAAATTCTAACAGTGTTGTATATTATAATCCATTGAGCGAACTAAATACGAAGAAAACAAACACAAATGAGCTTCAATCTGATGGAACTTTTGTATAAAATTAGCTCTATGAAATCAGGTGTCACCTCAATCCTCAAAAATGAGAAGCTGTTTGTCGACTCTGATAGTACGCTTGGTAGTGACCGGCAAAGTCATTGATCCCTTCTGAACAGATGTAATACATCAATTGCTTGAGAAATATACTCCAGTAGGAAAATAAAAGCTGCAATAATGGATTGAGAAATTTTTTGAGAAAGAGGCCATGAATATACAAGGGTGTGGTTTATTACCTGAGGCCTGAAGGACTGGATGTGTAGTAGCCATACTGTCTTCGGTTACAGAGCTGAAAGAGGTGCACCACTGAATAGGCACATGGTAAGATAAATAAACAGATAGCCATACATATATTCATGAACATGCCGTGGGCCTTTGAAGGTCATCGGTCTATATTTCTAAGTTAAATGGGAGTTCATTTTCATCACAAGCTATACAGCAAAAACACATGTCCATCACTTGCACCAAGCATTAGAGGGAAAACAGTATTTGGTCATGGACGGAGCACTCATATTAGTAAAAATATTGTGCAGGAATGAAATTCGTACGATAAATACGTGCATCAGATAGCAGTATGAAGTTGTGTCCCAAATTAATATATTTATGCCATCGTAACTGAGAAAGACGAACCACGGAAAGCACTGCAAAAAAGAGGCACATGGGCAAACTGAGATGAAACTCGAAGATGAGGACGAGCGGCCACGAAGCCATTCTTCTGCCCCTGTGCCGGCCATGGCACGGCCAGGACCCACCCGCACTGAGCCACATCAGGAGGGGGGGAGAGAGGCGCGCGTGGCGCGTGGGGAAGCGGAGGGGATAACGGGCGTCTGCCCGCAGCCGCGGCCACCGGTGCGCCGCCGCATCAGGAGAGGAGAGAGAGAGAAGCACGGGGGAGGGGATAGCCGCCGCTGTGGCTGCGGCCATGGCCGGAACCCGGTCGCACCGGTGCGCCGCCGCGTCGGAGGGTGGCCAACGCAGGGGCCCAGCCGTTTCGCCGCCGCACGGGGAGAGAGGGAGAGAGACGGCGGCGCTGGCACGGGCGGCTCGGGTAGGGCCGGCGAGCGGAGAGGGAGCGCACGAGATCAAGAGGCCCGATCTGGATCTAAATCTGGAAGCGAGGAGAAGTCGGTGGAGCAGGATATTTTTGTTGCTGTTGACCTGAAGGAGGGCGACATGTGGAGCAACAGTAAACAACCAGATGAGTAAATCTGAACGGTAAAACTGAGATCAAACGGCGCAAATTTTTTGTGCTAACGTGGACGGCCTGGACGGCGGCCGAAGCAAACTAGCTTAATATATTAGAATTAGAATGTCCGATGAGATCTGTAGCCTTTTTTATTTTTTTAAAAAAATAATTTAGTTATTTAATTACTTATTTTTGCATGGCTTTTAAAAATGAAGGGCTGAGATTTTTTTTTGACATCTTTACTTCTTATGAGGTAAAGGGGTTACCATAGCAAGTACGAAGTTTGATGACCTACAACTTGAATACTTTGATATATAACGAAACATACATATAGATATAGACTAGTTAAGTAACATTGCTTTATGATTTTGGTGTGTATCGGAATCAGTTTTTGAACATAAGTCTGGAACAATAGATGAGTTCTTGCTGTGCTGAAAATGTACGAGCTGGATATTTTTTTAACTTTCGTTGTCTGCTTAGCATGTGTACATGAAAGCACTAACAATTTCATGACAGTGGATCAAAGGTGTACTAATATGTGCATATAATATTCTGCCCTGGAGCTAGTAGTTTGATAGGAAAATCTAAACCTAAGACACCACAAATGTTCAGTTGAGTGCGTTTTCAGTTGAACCATCAGAACATTTAGGTGATCAGTCTTGACTGCTGTGCTACCCATTGCTCTACAGCAACCACAAACAGGTAGTTTTCTTTTGCTCCAGAACACTAGTTAGTGCAGCTAGCACGTCTTCCAGAGGCATCTTACCGATTATGCATTGCACGGGGACGGGTCAGCTAGCTGCACTGACAAATAAGTGGCGTATAATTAAGACTGCTCTGCACTTTTGTTTCTCAAAAAACTGATCCAAATGGTTTAAGCTATGGTTGTGTTGATATATATGGTTGAGCCACCAGCAGTGATGTCAAGGGAGGGATTGCTGTTGTTCCATCGACATGTACCTACTTTCCCACTGTCTCCGACAGCAAGCTTTGTGGTTGGTTGGAGATATAAGGGTGTGTTTGGATCGGGGAAAGGGTGGATGTGATATGAATATCCATATTGTTTGTTTGGTTGGATGGATAGGACGAGATATTTTTCTGTTTGGTTGGATGGATGAGATTGCATGGGATGAGAATACTTGACTAATTATATCTATTATTTAAAAATAATAACAACTAATTATAACATAATAAATATACACTGACACTAATCTTGTCATTATAATCACTAATTAAAAATAAAAATATGTTAATTAGCAATATACTACTCTAATTGTCACACAAAACATGCGCTAATCAACATGTGGATGTCCTCATCCGCCAAATTTTTGAGGGCCAGGATATCCAGCATCTATCCAGAATATTCCCTGTTGTGGATATCCAGGTTCAACTTGTCTATCCAACCAAACACCCTGTATCCATGCCCCATCCATAGATATTCATGGAACCAAACACACCCTAAGTTGCAGCAACTGAGGCAGTTCTCAACTAATTTTCCATCCTGAATTTGGAGCTGGGCCTCTTGTCTCTTGCTTGGATTCTACAAAATCCAGTTGCCTGCCTCTGTTTACTCAATTTTGCAGCTGAAATCACAACCTGTCTCCTCTGTCTTGTGAGTAACTTTTCTTTATCCCCCCCTGCATGTAGTTAGCTCCTGGTTCATGTTTCAAGGATGGATTGCTTGACTGTAATTTGGTTTGGTTTGGCCTCTTGTCCTCTGTTTCCACTTCGCTATGATGTATGATTCTTGTTTCTGGTTATTGCTTGATTGTAATTTGCCACTTTTACCATGCGTATGCAATGCATAAATCAGAAGTAGGATGTGCATCCATCTGATCTGAAATGATAAGATTTCCACTGTTACTGCTATGTGTCCCTCCTAATTCCATTTCACATGGATGCTGGGTCATGTTTCTACTACAGCAAGAAAGCATAAGGATTCATGGTGCGGCTGCTGAGCCTGCCTGGGCATTCATTCATTAAAGGACACTGATCTGAGCATGCATGTTCATGCTGTTATGTTCCCTTCCTGAGAAAATTTCTTATTTGGCCCTAGTTTAAAGTTGTCTTTCTTCCTTGACCCTGAAACAAAATTTCTTACATTTTTGGCCTCACTCGAAGTTTTGTTTTCTAATCTGGTCTTACCGTGAGATCTGTCAAAGTTTGCCATCATTGAGTTGTCAGTTTTTATTGAACAGACATAAATACCCCTAACTGAAGCTGTGTCTCTCCTTTCTCTTCTATCTCGACCTCTCGGTCACGTCTCTGTCCCTTCCCGCATCCGAGCCCGCTCTCTTCTTCTGAAACAAAAAGGATCTCTTCTTCCCCTCCGCTGCCTCACTTCCGCCAAGACGCTGACGGAGGTGGCTCACAGCAGAGCGCCAGGAGCCCAACCCTAGCCCCACTCGTCCGTGCTTCCGTCCTTCCGGTGGACCAGCCGCCAACCCTCAGCATGCATGTCTCCCGAGAATCCCAGCCCAGCAGTGCCGGCCGAAAGCCGCCCCAAGGCCATGCCACACGTGCCACGCCACGGGAAGGGGAAGAAGAAGGACGAGAAGAAGGATGACGATCCGGTGAGTCCGCCCGCTTTGAGCCACAGGAGAGGTTGAATTGTGGGGAAAAATCTCGCCTCCTCATGTTTTGATCTGGGTTTTTGCTTTCACCGATGTGTCGGATGGTGCCGCAATCGGAGGAGGATCTGGCGCTCAAGGAGCAGCTGGAGCTTCTCGTCATGCGGGCGCAGGACGCGGATCCCGGCGTGTGGCTCGCTTCGAGAGCATGAGGTACTGCTCGCTTTCGCAAATCCTCCCGATTTAGGTCTAGGGTTGCGTGACCCCTAGGGTAACTAAGCTTTGTGGGTTTAAGTTTGTCACCTTTGTGAAGATTAGTTTAGTGTCGTGGTGCTGTATGCCTTTATTGCCTATAATGTGTAAAGATTAAGATGGGTTTTCTTGTGTATGACAAGGATTAATTGAGTGCTCCAGCTGCACTCCTGTAGTTTTGTGCAACCAACGACTTGTTTCTTAACCCTTTTGATGCCACTAAAACTGATCTGTTTCAGGTAGGAGATTCGCTCTGCCACGAGCTCAATGACTTCAGTCCCAAAGCCACTGAAATTCCTCCGCCCGCACTTTGGAACTCTGAAGTCCTATTTTGAAACAATGCCAGAGTCCGAGCTCAAGGTATGTGTGAACACTTTGGATCACCCAGCTTTAGATTAGTTTGGTTCAGTGCTGATGCCACCATCTTATTATTTTGCAGAAGTACATGGCTGACATACTGTCAGTGTTAGCTTTGACAATGTCCATCGAAGGAGAAAGAGTATGTGCCGTCCGCAATAGTTCTCTTCCTACTGTCATTACTGTTCCTGTGAATCTGGAACTGAGACATCTTCTTGTTGCAGGAGAGCCTGAAATACCGTTTGTTGGGCTCTGAGGGTGATATTGGTTCATGGGGTCATGAATATGTGAGGTATGACTGAACTGAAATGATATGTTTCCTGGCTCCTTCAATCAGCGAAGTCTAAACTTTTCTAGTGTGCTGTGTTGGCAATGCTACTCATGCAACATTATGCAAAAATAATAAAAAGTCGTAAGCATTTATTGGACTGATATACCACACTATATCATGCAACGTTATGCAAAAATAATAAAAAGTCGTAAGCATTTATTGGACTGATATACCACACTATATCATGACACAATAAATGAACTCCTACAAGTATACACTGTTTACAAACTTGTTCATATCCTGCTCAGCTAACGACAGGGCACAGGCATGATACATGATTCTTTTTTGTACTTATTAAGTTTTATTTCAGAGGAAACTTTCTGCATAGAGTAACCCCTTCCTGAAATGCTGTTGATTCAGATATGCTCGAATACGTTAAGTTTATTTCACCTGTTGGATATGCTTCATTTTTTTTGAAAAAACATACTGTTTACATGCTATTTCTTTGGAAAACTGTTGGATTTTAAATGAATAACTGTCTTCTGTGCAGAAATTTGGCTGGCCAGATTGCACAAGAATTCCAAAAGCGTCAGGTTGCACTCTCACTCATGCTAGAATTCTTGAATCATTTTGTATTGTTGTTATATCTACGACTTGTACCAGGGTTTTGCTGATTCTTGTACATAACACCTGTTAAAGTTTGCAGAAAATGATGTATGTGGCGAACACTATGTTGAACTATGTGCTCTGTGCTCCTTTTAAATTTTTAGGATGATGAACTTGTTTAAATTGTGTGCTATGATCAATTTGACATCATTTTTTACTATAATGTTAGAGGTCTGGATGTTGCATTCCTATCAAAAAGTGATTAAAAATCTGTGTTATGAAAATTTCATTTAAAGTCCTCAAAATTATGTTGTTATGCTGTCTGGGTGATCTTTGGTTTCTCATAATGTCTCAGGGGCAATTTAGTCGTTTCATATGCCACTTAACGGTGTTAGAGGCAGGAGATGACGGTAAGGTCAGATTAGAAAATGAAATTTCAAGTGAGGTCAAATGGGTAAAAAAAATTGTTTCAGGACCCAGAAAGAAAGACAACTTTAAACTAGGGCCAAATAAAAAATTTTCTCAAAAAGTTTTGAGCATAGGGGTCCATGACCCATGCCGGCCCCTCCCTAGCTCCGTCCTCGCACCATATTGCGTAAGCCACACATGTCTTTGGAACATAATAAAACCAAGACGACCAGAATACTATGCGTGTTTGAAAGCTACTCTTAGGTGAAGCAATTAACGTGAAAATAAACTCAATAGTGAATGTATTGCAACTTTATTTTTCACTCAACAGTGAATGCATTGCAACGGCTTCATAAAAAAAAAAGTGAATGCGTTGCAACGTTTTCACGCTGGAGTTGTAGATAAAGCGTCCCGGGACAATGCTGCTACCTCGATTACCTCAAGTGTATAGCATATAAGCTTCAGAGTGAACCGGCGGGGTCTGATAAGGGAAAAGAGTCGAGGAGAGACCCACTACGCTTTGGATAACCACCTAGCGATAGTGTGAAGAAAGATCGTTGAGAACCCGTGAAAAAATATGAATGTGAAAATGATGCAGCTGATGAAAAGTAGAAAGGCTTCGTAGCTATGGATGGAGGCACTAGGCAGCTGAGATAGATATAAAGGTTAGAAGAGAGAAATGTAGATGAAGAAATCAATTTTCCCAAAGGGAAGAAGTTGGTCCATAACAAAGAAGATGCTCGCAATAAAAAAATACCGTAGCAAATCTAGCCGCGCTATTAGCACGGGCCAAATTGCTAGTTGTTAATACACTCGCCGGCAGCAGCAGGAGCAGGCAGATCCTACGCAAAGATGACCCAAGATTTTCTTAATCCTCTGTCTTTGTTTATCGTGTCAGGAAGTGGCTGCAGGCCCCTGGATATAAACTAGAGGCACCATGGAAGGAGATGGCCGTGACAGCTTCCTAACCACATTATAACATTTCAACACTTCATGATCGCAGACTAACCTCAAATGCTTGCTTCATGAAGTCCATTCCATGTCTACTTCGCTTGGAATACTGCATAAATTTCACAAGAAACAGTTTGTGCAGCAGTGCAAGTGAGTAGTGGCAGTCAAGCTCTTTTATGCACGTGACACGTACTCGACTCTGCAGTCTGCATTATTGCAGTTCGTTCTTCTCATTCTGTATAGACACGCGCATAGGAAGGCTCGCTCGGCGCCATGGTCTTCGCGTTTATCGCCGGTAATGGCGTGGTGGCGGAGTTGCTGATGGCGCGCGCGGTTCGCCCGGCAGGTCCTGTCGGGGCGTTGGTTCACGCTGTTTGCGTGCCTGCTGATCCTATCGGCGTCGGGTGTGACGTACGCCTTCGGCATCTACTCCCGTGCGCTCCGGACGTCGCTGGGCTACGACCACCGCGCCGTCGCCACGCTCGCCTTCTTCAAGGACCTCGGCAGCAACGTCGGCGTCCCCGCGGGGCTCCTAAACGAGGTGGCCCAGCCGTGGGCCGTGCTCGCCGTCGGCGCCGCCATGAACCTTGTGGGCTACCTCATGGTCTACCTCTCCCTCGCTGGCTGCGTCGCCCGGCCCCCCCCCCCCCGTCTGGCTCATGTGCGCCTACGTCTGCGCAGGAGCCAACTCGTAGGCGTTCGCCGGCACGGGGGCGCTCGTCACCTGCGTCCGCAACTTCCCGGAGACCCGCGGTGCCGTGCGGGGGCTCCTCAAGGGCTACGTCGGCCTCAGCAGCGCCATCCTTGCGCAGCTCCACCTCACCCTCTACAGCGGCGGCGATGCCAGGTCGCTCGTCCGCTCATCGCCTGGCTTCCCGCCGCCATCTCCATTGTGTTCCTCGCTACCGTCCACGTCGTCCCGAGGCAAAGCACGCACGGCGGCGACGTGTTCCTCTGCTTGCTCTACATCTCCGTCGCTCTCGCGGCGTACATCGTCGTCATGATCGTCGTGCAGAGGCAGGTCAGCTTCTCCCGTGCCGCCTACGCCGCGTCCGCCGCCGGGCTCCTCGTCCTCCTCTTCCTCCGCCTCGCCGTCGTCGTTAAGCAGGAGTACCGGATCAAGAAGGAACATGGGGAGCCAGCACCGCTATGCCGCCACCGCCGTCGCGGCCACCGTCTTCGTCTTCCCACCTCGGCGCCTTCCTGAGGCACGCGTTCAGCCCGCCAGTGCACGGCGAGGACTACTCGATCCCGCATGCGCTGGTGAGCGTGGACATGCTAATCCTATTCGCGGCCATCGCCTGCGGCGCCGGCGGCACGCTGACGGCGATCAACAACATGGGGCAGATCGGGCAGTCTCTGGGGTACCCTCCCGAGACCATGGACGCCTTCATCTCCCTCATCAGTGTCTGGAACTACGCCGGCCGCGTCGCTGCCGGATACGCCTCCGAGTCCCTCCTGGCGCGCTACAGGTTCCCGCGGCCGCTCGCGCTCAGGGCGGTGCTGCTCGCCTCCTGCGCCGGCCACCTACTCATCGCCTTCGGCGCGCCCGGGGGGCGCGCTCTACGGGGCGTCGGTGCTCGTCGGCTTCTGCTTCGGCGCACAATGGCCGCTGCTCTACGCCGTCATCTCCGAGCTGTTCGGGCTCAAAATGCTTAGTGGCGCGATGGACACCATGTGCATTTGTGCGTCTTCAGGGGCATTCCGTCGAATGGCTTACCTGCTAACGCCATTGTGCACCCTCTAATTATTACCTGTAGCTCGACCGCTATAACCTGTAAGACGCCTCCCGAGCCTGCCTGCTCGCGTGGTGGAGGCGACAGGCACGCTCAGTGCTCGTCGATGAGGGGATCTCCTGTTAGCCATTATAAGTCAGTTGCCGGATATGTTCAGTTAGCGTTAGCGGGTCAGACTTTCACTTAGAGTCCACGCGGCGTCGTCCACATCGCGCGTCCATTGTGGCACGTCCCAGCGGTTTGGGATGGCACTCCATGATCACGAGCATGCCGCCGTTTTTCCCGGCCACGATGGCCTTGTAATCTTCTTTTATTACCGCAATCTAAACAAGAAAACGCTACCAGTTGACAGCACCAAAACTCCCGTGTTTTGCAGTTCACCGAGTTCACGCGAGAGAGAGGTAGAGAGTTCGCCGGCGATCCGAATTTCCAGCGGGCGAACTTCTGACATTTGGTACCAGAGCCGAGGGTTGTTCCAGTCATGGCGCCAACCACTCCGCCGCGTTCTGCCTGCAGTGACGACAACCCTGAGGGGTCAGGCGCCAGAGGGTCGCGCTCGCCACGACGTCACCGTCCTCGCCGCCCAAGCCGATCACGTACCCGGGACGCCGGGCGTCGCGAGCGGGTCATCGAGCGAGTGATCGAGCACGGATCCAACTCCATCCAGTACCCGATGCTCACGCGGACCAACTACCAAGAGTGGGCGTTGGTCATGAAGGTGAACCTCCAGGCAGCGCAGTACTGGGAGGCCATTGATCCCGGTGATTGCGACGATCACACTGATTGACTCGCGCTCGCAGCGATTCTGCGCGGAGTACCGTAGGAGATGTGGAGCTTACTGGCCAAGAAGGCAACAGCCAGGGAGGCATGGCAGGCGGGGAAGACCATGCGGGTCGGCATCGAACGTGTGCGCGAGGTGAACGAGCAGCAGCTGCGACGCGACTTCAACTCCATCGCCTTCAAGCCTAGTGAGTCCGTCGATGACTTCGCAGTTCGACTCACCACGCTCACCGACAACCTCCGCACACTTGGCGACGGCATCACGGACACCGAACTCGTCAAGAAGCTCCTCCAGGTGGTGCCGGAGAAGCTCAACCAGGCGGCCGTCGCGCTCAAGATGCTCCTCGACCTGAACAACATCCCGGTCGAGGAGGTCGTTGGGCGCCTGTGGGTGTCCGAGCAGCGCACCCAGCCAGAGGCCAAGCAGGTCATGGACTAGCAGGGTTGGCTGATGCTGTGCGAGGAAGATTGGGAGGCGCGCCGCAAGGCTCGGAACGAGCAGGAACACGATGATTCCAGCTCTAGGTCTGGCGGACGCGGCAAGCGCCGCGGCCGTGGATGGGGGCGTGGTCGCGGTAGCGACGAATCCCGTGACGCTCCACCATCGAGCTCGAGCAGGCCTCCACCCGATGACAAGTGCCGCAAGTGCAGCAAAACAGGCCATTGGGCCAAGGACTGTAAGTCCAAGAAGAAAGGGGAAGCCCACATGGCGTATGCCGATGAGGAGGAGCTGGCCCTGATGCTCGCCACCGCGGAGCTGATTCCGGCGGACGCACCGCGCTCCCCATCGCCATCCTCTCTGACATCGCTCGAACCGCGTCGCATCAAGTTGGTGGAAGCCAAAGCCTTCATCCAGCTCGATGCCCAGGCCGAGAAGGACGCCGGCCGCTGGGTCCTCGACACTGGCTCGACAAACCATATGACGGGATCTCGGACCGTGTTCTCGGAGCTCGATCCTACCGTGTGCGAAACCATGTGGTTCGGTGACGGATCATTGGTGAACATCGAAGGGCGCGGGACGGTGCTATTCGCGTGCAAGTCCGGCGAGCATCGCGCGCTCATCGGCGTATACTTCATCCCACGTCTCACTGCCAACATCATCAGCATTGGGCAGTTGGACGACGCGGGGAGCAAGGTCGACATCGAGAACGGCATCCTTCACCTCTACGACCCCGACCGCCGCCTTCTCGCCAAAGTACGGCGTGCACCGAACCGCCTATACTACCTCAACCTCGACATCGCCCGGCCAGTGTGCCTGGTGGCGTGCAGCAGCGAGCCGGCATGGCTTTGGCATGCGCGTTACGGCCACCTCAACTTCTAGGCGCTCCGCCGGCTGTCCTCACAGTCGATGGTGCGTGGCCTTCCTCCAGTCGACCACGTGAACCAGCTCTGCGATGCGTGCCTAGTTGGGAAGCAGAAGAGGATGCCATTCCCGCAGCAGTCTACCTACCACACTGATGACCACCTAGAGCTTGTCCATGGCGACATCTGTGGACCGATCGAGCCCACCACTCCGGGGGGTAAGAGGTATTTTCTGTTGCTGATCGATGACATGAGTCGCTATATGTGGCTCACCTTGATCACCAGCAAAGATGAGGCGGCTACCGCCATCAAGCAGTTCAAGGCCTGTGCGGAGTTGGAGAGCGGGCGCAAGCTGAAGGCGCTACGAACCGATCGCGGCGGTGAATTCACGTCGATTGAGTTTGATGAGTACATGGCGGATCACGGTGTCCACTAGTAGTTGACGGCCCCCTACTCACCCCAGCAAAATGGGGTCATCGAATGCCGAACCAGAGCGTGGTCTCCACCGCGCGCAGCATGATGAAGGCAAAAGGTGTTCCGGGGAGGTTTTGGGGTGAGGCCGTCCACACCGCGGTCTATCTCCTGAACCGCTCCCCGATGAAGGCGCTGTTCGGAGTGACTCCGTACGAGGCCTGGCATGGCAAGCAGTCGTCTGTCCATCACCTAAGGACTTTCGGTTGCATCGGCCATGTCAAGGACGTGCGGCCTCACCTCAAGAAGCTTGCTGATCGGTCTACACCGATGGTCCTGCTCGGCTACGAGGAAGGGAGGAAGGCTTATCGCCTCTTCGATCCAGTTGGTGAGCGGGTGCACGTATCGCGCGATATCGTGTTCGACGAGAGCGCAAGCTAGAGCTGGGGTGCAGCATCGACACCGGTTGCTGGAGTCGAGCCACTCAACGTTGAGTTCTTGTCTCTACCCATCGGGGTTGGGGAACAGGAACCTACAGCTATGAGTCCTACACTACCTTCGCCACAGCCTGCCACACAGCCACCGGCATCACATCCACCTGCATCGCCAAGCTCAGTGGTTCCGCCATCGCCGCAAGATGGCATCGAGTTCGCATCGCCACCATCGTTTGATGATGCGCTCGACGCAGACGTGGATGATGCTGAGCCCCAGCGCTACCGCCTCGTCGACAACATCATCGGGGATAGCACTCCACCTAGGTATGCACCTCAGCCACCGCTCGAATTTGATGAGCTTCATGCAGTCACTGCCGAGGAACCAGGCTCGTTCAAGGAGGTAGAACATGCCCTGGAGTGGCAGCAAGCCATGAAGGAAGAGATGGACGCCATCATCGCCAATGGGACATGGAGTCTCACTGAGCTCCCCGCCGGTCACCATGCTATTGGCCTCAAGTGGGTCTATAAGGTGAAACGGGACCAGCGGGGTGCCGTCGTCCATCACAAGGCGTGCCTGGTGGCCAAGGGGTACGTTCAGCGCCAGGGGGTGGACTTTGAGGAGGTGTTTGCGCCGGTGGCGCGCCTCGAGTCCGTGCGGCTCATGATCGCCATTGCTGCACACTAGAACTGGCTGGTTCACCACATGGATGTGAAATCGGCCTTCTTGAATGGAGACCTCAAGGAGGAGTTGTACGTCGCTCAACCACCCGGCTTCATCGACAAGGACTGCCCCAGCAAGGTACTGCACCTTCACAAGGTGTTGTACGGACTGCGCCAAGCTCCTCGTGCCTAGAACACCAAGTTGGACGTGACACTGCTCTCCCTCGGGTTCAGGCACAGTGAGAATGAACACGGCGTCTACACGCACGGCAACGCACAAAAGCGGCTGATTGTCAGCATTTATGTCGATGATCTCATCATCACGGACGGCGATGTTGCTGAACTACGGGTGTTCAAGGAGGACATGAAGAGGAGGTTCCAGATGAGCGACCTCGACACACTATCGTACTACCTCGATATCGAAGTGTGTCAGGCGCCATCGGGGATCACCATCTCCCAGGAGCGCTATGCCCAGAAGCTGTTGGAGCGAGCAGGCATGCTCGACTGCAACCCGAGCGCGACGCCAATGGAGCCTCGGCTCAAGCTCCTCAAGGAGAGCACTGCCCCACACGTTGACGTCACTACGTACAGGAGTATTGTGGGAGGTCTCAGGTACCTGCTTCACACACGCCCGGACTTGTCATACAGCGTCGGCTACGTAAGCAGGTTCATGGAGGCGCCAACGGAGGAGCACCAGGCTGTTGTCAAGCGCATACTGCGCTATGTGGCAGGGACAACAGGTCTAGGCATTCACTACAAGCGTGGGGACAAGAAGAAGCTGTCGCGGCTGCACGGCTACAGCGACAGTGATTTCGCCGGTGACACCAACGACCGTAAAAGCACCGGCGGAGTCATCTACTTCCTCGACAACGGGCCGATCTCATGGCAATCCAGCAAATAGAAGGTTGTGGCCCTCTCGTTGTGCGAAGCCAAATATATTGCGGCGGCGACTACGACATGTCAGGGTGTCTGGCTTGCTCGCCTCTTTGCAGACTTGGTCGACATCGAGGCCAGAGCACCGACCCTGTGGGTGGACAACAAGTTCGCCATCTCTCTTGTCAAGAATCCAGTGCACCACGACCGTACCAAGCATATTGATGTGAAGTACCACTATGTCCGGGAGTGTGCAGATCGAGGCTTGATCGATGTTCAGTTCATCGGAATGGCGGAGCAGCTAGGTGACATCCTTACCAAAGCACTCGGACGCCTAAAGTATGAAGAGCTTCGTAGCAAGATCGGCCTCACCAAGTTTCTCTCTACCAGCAACATGACTTAGGGGGTGATTTGTTAGCCATTATAAGTCAGTTGTCGGATATGTTCAGTTAGCGTTAGCGGG